TACCAAACTGTGCTTGGAAGACTGGTGAGATCCCAGTAAAACTGTATCAAAATGCGGCAGTCGGTATTTACATCGATTCTAACAAGTGGTATCATTGAAGACGTCAGTTTTCCGTTTATTGGATTTTTTGATCTCGGGAAGGTTTTCTATTTGCTATCAGTTAAATGAATCAACATTAGATCAAGATCAGTGTTCTATTTGTCTAAAAGTGATTTTGTCTCTCGAAGAATTATAGCTGCCGTGCTTTATATTATGTGTTTACCCCTTTTCCTCTTCTTTCGAGAACTATTTTTGTACTGTCAATAGAAAAAAATATGAATAAAACACTGAGCACGACAAGTCGACTTTCTATCATAAATCTGATAGATATAATATCGAATAAATGACAATTGAAAACGAATACCTACGTATGATGGATCGATGTGAGTGGGTGTGGCGTGACTAAAGAAGATACAGGTTGATTACGTTATTTTTAGTAGTTTTTTATGATTTGCTGTATTCCAGTTTGCAGAGGAACAATGAAACTTTCTTATTCTAGTTCGGTTGGATAGAGCATCACTTACTCTATCGATCCATACTATTTGCATTCTATTTTCTCTGTAGCTTTATATAGAAAAATCAATTGATCTCAAATAAGTACGAAAAAATACTTTTGCACTTTTGTTCACATCATATCTTTTTATTATTTATCATAAATATATATATAAACAAAAAAAGTACAATTACAAACGATGCTCGATATGACAACCTCGAGCATTATATATCAAAAATCTTTTCCGCCCTGAAGCTAATACTTTGTTAATAAAATTTGGTTCCATCTTTTTCCATCGAATTAAAAGCTTTTTTCAATTCGTTTAGAGATTTTAGTTCTGTTTTGTTTAGTCGTTGTTTTAAATATCTCCATATTGCATAATCCATCGGTGTAGCATCAGGACTACTCAGTATACATTATTCTAGTTTGATATAATTAATTTTGCTTTTGTGCCTGCTGTAAAAATTGCAAGGTACGTCCTTCGATAATATTGAAAGTTTATTACGTAGCATTTGTTCAAAATGTATTTAAACGAATTAGTCGAAAGACAAACAGTCTAACGACCATTTGAAAGGAAGAAAAAAAACGTTCAATATATAACGTACGCATGTTCTCACGAACCTCGAAATTAATTTGATTATACATAGTAAAAAATAAAAAGATATGATCTGAACAAAAGTGCAAAATGTTTGAAATCAATTGATTTTTCTATATAAAGCTACAGAGAAAATAGAATGCAAATAGCATGGATCGATAGAGTAAGTGATGATCTATCCAACCATACTAGAATAAAAAACTTGCATTGTTCCTCTGCAACTGCAATACAGTAAATCATAAAAAACTACTAAAAATAACGTAATCAACCTGTAGGTATTATGGTTAATAACTTATTCTCTTCCTTTCACTACACCGATGTGTCATAAGCAACACGATTAGCATGTAAACATAGCTGACTACTTCCGAATTTACAAATGACATGTAAGGTAACTTTGCACGACCATCCGTGTTTGTAAATATATTTTTCTATCCATCACTATCATCAATTAGTCAAAAAATAATAAAAAATAGTATGGCAAGATTTGCTTGCTGATAAGTCTATTTTTCATACATTATTTGTATCTTTTTTTCACAATTTTGAAGTTCATTCTGTGTATTTATATGCTTTTATCAAGTATTTTGACAGAATTTCTTCTTCAATCTAGTTATCATAAAGTGTAGATAAAAGATCCAACCGATATCCATTGTCACACCGTTATCACTATTAATAAGAAAAGTGATCTACAAGGCAATGCCTAACTGATAGTTGCTTCCAGCACGCTTTGCCAGTCCTGAGATTCTCAAACAGTTTCATTGAAAAATGATTCTCTTGTGTTGTTCAAAAGATAGTCGATAGTTTATTGTTATAATTTTATGAAAGAGAATAAAAGTACATTTTACTAGTCTTTTGTTTTATTTGTTTGTTTTTCTTTTGAATAATCTATATAAGGTAATCCTAGATAATAGACAATATGTAAGTGATCGTCTGGTTTGAATGACTGCTGAGGAGATCGAAATATTTTTATCTGATGTTGTCGATGTTTGATTGATAGAAGACGCATAGCTTCGCCGCATACAATTCCTAGATGGCAATGAAAAGCACCAAATACATGCCACCACGCATGCAATTGTGGATTAAATTGACTGATATTATTCATTTGTTCACATAATTGTTGATCGATAATCCAACATACAAAAGCTGAAATTAGTAAAACAAGATGTATTATGAGTAGATATTTTATCCGATATACATGATGATATGGTTGTCGATATAGATGAATTAATTTAATCAAAGCTACAAGTACCATCAAAGTAAAATGAATTTGAAATACTAATACAAATGTTTGTAAAGTATGTACATAAGTCCATAATAATCCATAAAAAATTCCAAATACGACTAATATGTCAGTTGCAAATAGTTTAGTCTTTATCTGTTTAAATTCATTCATTCTATATAATATAAATCCCCAGATAATCATTGAATAGACCATTGGAAGTTCATCGGCCATTTGACCTAAATGTGTTAGAGTGCCATGGAAATAGGCAGATCCAAGTCCGACTAATACAAAACCCAAACTGGATAATAAAAATCGTGTTTCAACGTTATTGTATAAACCTCGAATAAATAATATTGTACCTAATATGCACATAGAGAAACTTGAAATACAATTCCAAAATTCAGCAATATATTCAGTTACAACATAATTACGTTCACACCAATCGATTGAACTAGTGCTTGGTGACCAATAACCGATATTCGTGTCTAAGTTAGATTCAAAATATTTAACGTCCGAGGGTTGACTATGGCTATCTACAATCGTTCGTGCATCGATTACAACATACCAAAAGATAGCATGAACTAATATGTGTAAAATAGAAATTGTTGAACGCATATTCCAAATATCTGAACGTTTGTTTGATCGTCCTTTGGAATCTTTTGGTTTTTATAGCTCACGAATCAGTTATGTAACTAAAGAGAAAATAATAAATGTGACGTTTAATTATAATATGGATCCAGCACATAGACAATATTCTAATTGTAGAAAGTAAAAAAGATCTAAATCTATTGAGTTCTACTAAATGTATGTTTTTTCAAAGAAACATTCTGTATTTCGAAACTCACGATTGATAAACACAATGAAAACTCTTAAATAGTGGTCAGATCTTTGCGAAAGAGAAATTTCGGAAAATACTGATATTCTCCTCCACCATCCATTACCACGTAAGGGTTCATACAAGAAGTTTTGGAACTTTCCAAAGTTCCTAGACACCATGCGATACATACGAAATAGAGGACAGATAGATAATTCGTCAAGCAACGGAAGAAACGTCAGAACATTTTCAGAGAACTCCCGCAATTACTGCAGAAGATGGTACAGTTTATCAAGTAGAAATGACGTATATTAAGTGTGTAGCGAATATACAAAGTCTAGAAATTTCGAGAAAACTTCATATATTACTACAGAAGATAATATATAACAACATATATATGTAAGATACATAAAAGATAGAAGAAAAAAACTAAAAAATTCAAGGCAATATCATATATTAGTGTAGAAAATAATGTACAATACTACATATATATATCAAATATATATGAAAGGTAGAAGAAAAAAAGAAATTTCAAAGAAATTTCAAATGTTAGTGCAGAAAGTGACATATAATATTATATATATATCAAACATATATAAAGGGTAGAAGAAAAAAGAAATTATAAAAATTTCAAGGAAATTTCAAATATGACTGTAGAAAATAGTGTATAATATCATATATATAGAACATGTATGAGAAGTAGAAGAAAAAAAGAAATTATAGAAATTTCAAGGAAATTTCAAATATTAGTGCAGAAAATAATGTATAATATTATATATATCGTACATATATGAAGGATAGACCAAAAAAAAGAAAGTATAGCATGATTTCGAGGAAACTTTTGAACTTTCTTTCTTACTTGCTATTCTACCTCTTACTCTTATGTATGTCATAGAATATTATATATATATAAAATTATCTCGAAATTTCTATAAATTGAGGGTGAGTGTGAGTATGTGTGCGCATTATATTAGATGTAAGTATATTGTCTAAATGCCATTTTTTTAAAATTCTAATACTTGAAGTTTTAGCTATTCAACTGATTCTAAAAAGTTTTATTTTCCATATAAAAAATCAAATTAAATATGTGAGTATCAAATATTTAATATAAATCATATTTTCAATAGTGCTTTGAAAATAAAACATACCTTTCAAATATTTTTGCACGCCACATATTTCTAATTTCATCCATGTTAAGATATTCAGTAAATTTGTTCCAACTCTTGTCATTATGTTCAGTCGTTTCCAGATTATAGATGAGTAACAACTTCAAGTTTTTAAAAATTTTCAGTATTTCCGTGATAAGATTTGCTCCTTTTTCTGATATACCATAAAATTCAGTTGATTTAATATGTATATATTGAATATTTGAAAAATAAATATAGATAATTTTTATAAATTGTTCAAATCTATCATCAACAGAATCCATCTTTATATCCAATTGTTGAATCTTATTGTTCAATATTGGGATTCATTCGTTTTTTATTGGGAACATTTCTTCATCGGCATCCAAAATCAAATGTTTTACGTTTGGTAATAAAAATATTAACCAATCCTGAATCTTTGTAGGAGTTAACCAGTCTAAATGAACAGTTGTGACAGTATCCAAACAAATGTTATGTTCTTCATAGGAATGTTCCAGTTGGTCTGAATAATCAGAATCATTATACAAAGAGATTTTATTTAATTTCGGCAATTTTATTTGAAGTTCTTTTAGAAAATTGAAATCATACTTCGATTGAAATGGTAGAGAAATGGATTTAACAGAAGACCATAGCTCAGGTATATTTGTTAACATTTCAGGGTTCTCTGATTTCATATCATTATAACCTTTGTAAATTCACTCAAAGTCATCAAATTGATATGGTAATGTAAAGAGAACATATTCATTCATTCCAAATGACCAGTTATGATCAGACCAAAATGGATCATTAAATTTCGATAAAATGAAATTTTTATCAATTTCATTATCAGCTACGTAAGCACGAAGATGAAATTTCTGAAGATTTATCATTATTTCTAAAAGTTCTTTAAGTTTTATGTGATTCAATGGAAAGTCGTCTGTTTTATTTTGTATTTCATTTAAATCAAGTGATAAACATATTAGCGATGATGAAAATTCTTTTATAAAATTTGTTAATTGATTAAGATCAATGTCTTCATATCAAAAACGAATGTCATCCGTTCTTTCTTTGCAATCTAATCTTAAACATAACTTCTTTAATTTAATACTTATTTTACTTGATAGTATTCTTATGCGTCGATAAGGTGGTTCGGATAGAAGATATAAATATTCTAAATTTGGCGTATATGATAGTAATGAGTAAATATCTTCAAAATCTTTTAATATTAATGTTAAGGAATATAAATTGGAATTCGTTTCGAAAATATTTGTATCATGTATTACCAATGGTGATGTTTTCAATAAATATTCAAATGTTCTTAAAGAAGTTTTCTTATTAAAAATATTTTTAAATACATAATCTTGACTAGGATAATAATCATATAAATGAGAATTTGATCCACAACCTACTTCAGCTTCTAGTATTCGAAATGAATGTAAACTTTCAAACTGTTCACTTGCAAAAATTAACTTTAATTCTTCATCTGGAAAACCATATGGACAAGAAATAATTAGAGATTTTAAATTTGAAAAGCATGTCTATGAAAATATTATATCTATTGAATTTATATTTAAACATTCAATTCGTGGACTAATAATCGATAGAATATTTTCCCATGTCTTTAGATTTGTTGTTGGTAATTTTAAATAAGTTATATAACGTTTATTTTGTAATAACAAATAGTTAAGTCGTTCACTGTGAAAGAAAAATGTATAAATAATATCATTATTTGATAAATAATCAAATATAAGAAAAATAATCTCAGTCGGAAAAAAATCAAACCATGTTGTTGATTTCATATTTGTCGCATCCATGTTGCAGAATAGCGAGCGAAAGAATGAATGTCTTCTGTTGATATGATAGTAATAAAATTGTTATTTTCGCTGATAATAAAAAAGAAAAAAGTATTACTCCGTCAATAAATAGTAAGCAATATGATAAATAATGAAATGACAACTAGCTTAGGATTATGGCTTCTTAAAGATATAGGAATTCGTGGAGATTTTTCATTAAAAAATAAGAAAAATATAGGACTTTTTTCTTATATCTTGAGTCTAGTTGAAAGTTTAGTTTTGATGACTCCACTGTCCGAGATCTTTTTATTTTGTGAATTACTTCAGATTTGTTGAGAATATCGAATTGGTAATTTTTGTATGTCTCGAAAAGCGCTGTTAAATCTATATAACAATAAGATCATCGGTAGAGTTGTTTGAGAGTTTAAGTATACAATCTATTTACTGCAATCCACAAAGTTTTAGAGTACTTTTTATATGCTGATAAATTTTATGGATTTCACTATAAACCTGAAACTGTCTTGGATATAATTCGATATAAAGTTTTCATGGCAAATCATTGATTTTAATATAATAGGTAAGCAGTTGCCAAAAAAATAAAATCGTTAATTTCGGACAATTCTTTTTCTTTTTTTGATTTTTATATTTACCATTTGAAAGAACATAAAAAGCTGAATACAACGATATAAAACTCTTTGTCAAGAGGGTAAATTTCAATAAGATTATCGATAAAGCATATAATAAATAGTCGTTGTATCATAAATTGAAAGCTTGAAATCTGGCTTATTTTTAAGCGACGACTTCCGATTTTGTAATAATATACTGTTATCTGTTACTAA